CAGCCCACTTCTTCGGATGCAGTCCACGAAAGCTTATGCTCTAATAAATTTGTTAGTCTCTAAGGTGCCACAAGTCCTCCTGTTCTTCTTTTTGCGGATACAGACTAACACGGCTGCTACTCTGAAACTTTTTGTAGTGTGGATCATATCTCAAGTGTCTCATGGACACCCTCCTTCCTCTGTGTGATCACCCTCCTTCCCATTCACAATTGCAGAACATCCCGTGGCAACTACAGTAATTGCAAACATTAGAAACGGATGTAAGGAAAATATTTCATGTATCGTAACAGCCTTTGATTGTGATTCATTAGCTGAAAAGTAGAGCCAACACCATGTGACTAGCCATATCCCCACAAACCATTAGCAAGTTCTTGGTGGACTATCAGTGGCCCATAGGTAAGGCTGTGTTTTAGTCACGGGTATTTTTAGGAAAAGTCATGGACAGGTCACGGGCAGTAAACAAAAATTCATGGCCCATGACTTTTACTATATACTCCTAACTAAAACTTGGGTTGGGGGTGCTCTGGGGGGTGGCCTGGGACCCTCACTGGTACTGGGGGGGAGGCATGCAGTGGAGTGCGGCCTAGGACCCCGGCTGGTGCTGGGGGCGGGGGGGGAGGGGTTGGCGGGGCTAGCAGGCTCCCTACCCGGCTCCGACTGGCATGTCTCTGCAGCTCCTAGGGGGAGGGGCGGCCAAGGGGGCTTTGCGTGCTGCTCCCGCCACAAGTGCTGGCTCCGCAGCTCCCATTGGCCAGGAACTGCAGCGAATGGGAGCTGCAGGGGCGGTGGTTATGAGCAGCGCACAGAGCCCCCCTGGCCTCTCCGCCTAGGAGCTGCAGGGACATGCCAGTCAGAGCCAGGGACCCCCCCCCCCCCACGGTAAGCGCTGCTTCGCACCCCAACCCCCTGCCCCAGCCCTGAGCCCCCTCCCACACACCCAAAATGCTGCTGCTGCTGGCCCAGGAGCTGCCTGGCTTGGGCAGCCTCTGAGCCAGCCACACCAGCCGCTGCAGAAGTCACAGACCTCAGTGACAGACATGCAGCCTTAACCATAGGCCATAGCCAAAATTTATGCTGGGCCTGCTTGACTTTAACTCCCTTTCTACCAACAGAGGTCTTTGTCACATATTCCATGAGGTTCATTTTTCTTTTTGTAAATGGCTGTGATGCTTATTAGGAGAATGTATTGGAGAGGATATTGGTGACATTTCCTTACATCCCCTTATGCCCCTTGGACAAACACATGGATCTTGTGCTGAAGTTATTTAAAATCTCATACCTGAGCAAGGATGGTCCCAGTTGTCTCTGCACCTAACTCGAAAGTTATGTTAAATCAGATACTACAGCCTTCAAGGAAAGGAAATGAGATATTATAGGGCCTTCATTAGCCCTGGCAGGACAGCAAGTCTGTAAAGCTTCCTCCCTCTGCTAGTCATAAAACTGAGGCTTAACACAGAAACCTTTGAGTCAGAAATCAGCTTGTTTTATTGCTTTATCTGTAGCTTTTGCATTGACAGGACTGCAGCAGAACACTTGTATAGCAATGAGGGATGAAGCAGGGATCTGATCTTTTTCTATCTCAGATTCCTGTGATG